TCCGCCTCCTCCTCCTCCTCCTCCTCCTCCTCTCTCTCTCTCTCTCTCTCTCTCCTCGTGTTCGCGCGATCGCGTAAGGAAGAGGGTGAGAGAAGCCAACAGCTTAGGATTCATCGATTATTCGCCTGCCTCGACGATGCATCTAATTGAATAACGATTATCCACTGTTTCTGTTTACCTCGTCGAATCAATGAGAAGGACTTAGGGAGGGAGTCGAGGAGCGAATGAAAATTGAATTAGAACCCGACACTTCTGTGTGTCCACGGTACGTGTAATTATCATTTCTAAATTAGCAATATGTTTATTCGCCATCTTTAATTATTCTTTCGGCAAAAATGTAAAAGAAAAGAGAAGAAGAAGGTTTTCGCATTCACTCGAAGAAAATTTTATAATCTTCGCTATAAAAAGTTGGAAAATATACATTCAGATTCTATTTTTAATAAAATAATTTCTATAACACGTACGTACGAGGATATTTTAAAAACGTGATACTTTAAACGTATCATCGAAAAGAGTAGAAAAAGAAAGGAAGAAAGATATTGCTCCCCAGCAATTATCTTAGGTGGCATACGGGGAGGGGGTGCGATCGTTGGTCGAAAGGGTGACATATGGTCTCAAGCTCGATAACGTCTACGATCGTACCTGCCTCGAAGAGAACGGAACCCCCGCTTCGAGGGGGGTCGGCAAAGTTCTGTCCTTCGTACACGTTTTGACCACCACTTCCCTCCTGCGCCGTCATGCGTGGGACGGGCAGGAATAAAAAGGTGCCCCGGCCGGAAATGGTTTTAGGAACTCTCCCACCGCCTCGACTCGGAAGTAGACACGCCGGGCTAATTACACGCGAGAAACGTGTATACCCGGCGATGTGTTCGAGAGACTTTCGTGACCCCATTGTCGATGTTGCGCGCATCGTTGTGAGCAGATGCGCTTCGTTTCGATTCCTCCGACTAAATTACTTTTTATTATCTTGTAACGTAAATTTAAATAATTTCTTTCCAACGAACGACGAATCGTTATCGAAAAAATTGTTACTGTAAACGAATTATTATTAATCGATCGATAAAAACTTTCTTTATATATATATACATATTTTATTATTGGATAATAAATTTCTAATAATAGTTTCTATATTAAAAGATATTGTTTTACACCAAGTCTAAGTCGATAGGGCAAAATGAACGAATCGAAATCGTTTTGTTCCCGTGCTTTTATAATCACGTCCCGAAATGATCAAGCACCTAGGCGAGTTACAAAACACGTCAGCCAGAAAGTAACGAAACGTGACTTTGTCATTACTAAACCATGTACTTCCATGGACAATGACATTCGCATCGATCATCTTCGAGCGAGGCGAAAACAGCCTGATGAACCACCAACAACCATTTCCTGTGCGTCATGCGATATTTACCGTTTAAGCAGGTGACTTGATTCGAAGGGGTGATTGCGGGTCATATCGGTGGGGTGGTGGAACGAGATTAGAAAATCGCTGGTTGAAAATCGACTTGTTCGATATTCCCTGCCACGGATTCCAACGACAACATCAAAGATATATAACCACAACACACCACCTTGAAAAATAATAAAAGGAATTCCAATAATAATTCGAATGTTTCAAGAATATAATCTCGAAAAAAAAAAGGATGGAGAAGAAGCTGAGATATCGACGAAAGAGGAAAGATTAATCATTAGACTGTTAACAGAGGAGTGGGTCTGGTAATCTCGTGAACTTTTCCCAAAGATTTTCCACCAGTTAAGGGGTTACGGATCTAAGGTGGCCATTGTTTCCAACTATCGACGCAGATAACTTCCGCCTATAGCCCGGGTAATTAAGGAAGAGACCGGAACACAAAAGAGCCCGGGGCTAGCGTTCGTTAATCTCTTATCGTCCATTACGCGGTTTCTAT